GGGAAAAGCTTGAAAGGTATGTGTATGCCTTCAGAAATTAAGGAGCGAAGGCTGGAAATAGGAGGGTATAAAGGGACTAGTTTCATTTTAGAAAAGTGTAGAGACTTAGAGGAACTTTTCCTCTACTGCCTTGGCATCTTCTGGGATTAATGAGCAATCCAATTGATGTCACACAGATTATAGGAGAAAAGAATAAATGTAACTACATATGTATAGAGAATCTATATGGCTGTGGATTCTAAAGTAGATGAGGCAAAGTAAGAGCACTATACTCTGAGCTAAGGCCTAGGATGAGGCCTGGGGCTTCAAGGGAAGATGAATACAATTCACATGGCTAGGAGAGGATGACTCATGATGTAGGCCCAACACTGTAGTTAAGATCAAGAGTAAAGTCATAGAAATGCAAAAATGACAGTTAAGAAAAGGGAGTAGAGGTAGGTTTTATTTTATTTTTTTAATTTTTAGTCTTGCTCTTTATTATAAACTCATTTCATAACACACATAAAGAAGGAAAATAGTTTAAATAATTGAATGGACTTGTATTTTTACTTACATGCGGTAGTTTTGATGGCATGTGACTGAATGGGCACACCAGCACCCCCAAACTTGTAAATATAAGAGTTGAACTGTTTGTGTGTACAAAGATAAAGACAAGCTCTTAGTCTGAAGCAGGGCCCGAAAAGCAGGACAAAAGAAACAAATTCAAAGTAAAAACCAAGTACAGCTGCTACTGTCAGCTTCCCCAGTGTCTCTTACTCATATTTTTCTTTTAAGTGTCTCTACATATCTCAATTCTAATTTAAAAGTTTTTACTCTATTCAAATAGCCTAAATGGCGAGAAGTACAGATACAGTGCAGCCTGAAGTTGATTTGATAAGGTTGATTTAACTACAATGGCAATGACAGAAGAAGAAAAAATAACTGCAAATGTAAGATACATCTATTACAGAAACCTTCTACACTTGTAAATATAGCAGACAATCTGTAAAATTTTCAGTGGAGGCTGTAAGACAGAGCAGGATTGATGTCCCCATTCATAGATGCTGGGTATAGAAGACATGGCACAACCAAATTAAACACTCAAGACAAAAAAAAGTCTAAAAATTGTGAGAATACTGAAAAGACAAGGAAATGCAATCTACATATAATAGAGGTAAAGACTGTAGTCATTCATTTACTTGTGTTTCCATTTCCTTGACTGTTTCTATACCACATTTTAAAAATATAGATAGCATTTCTCAAGGTGGACTTTTAGAGCATAAAGCCTGAAATGATGATGCCTACCTATTTAAATATATCAAAAATGTAATCTTCATTGCAAAAATAAAGATTTTTTTGAGTTGTTTTCTTTTTGTTGAATTGCATGAGTTATTCATAGATCTTGGATATTAGTATGTATAATGTGTAAATTTCTTCCATTCAGGAGGGTGTCTTTTATTTTAATGATAGTTTTTTTTCCCATTGTGCAGAAAATTAGATTGATGTAGTTTGTTTCCCTTGCTGTTAGAGTCGAGTCCCCAAAGATATCTTTGTTATATATTAGCTTATTTTTATTTAGTAATATGCATTTAGGTTTTGCCCATGTTTGTTCAGGGCTTGGTACCTAATTTCTTAGCATTCAGTAGCATTGCATTGTCTGGAACCATTTTCAGAATCAGAAGTACTCCTAGAGCCAAGCTTTTGCCTCATCCATTTAGAAGACTTTTTTCTGTCTTGCTTCTGGTTTCATGCCCCTCTATGTTGTTGGATTTAAAATGTTCCAATCAAAGAACTTGTTTTCCTACCACACAACACTGGAGGTATGTAACATAGGAATCCCTCATCCACACACTCATTAGTGAAAAAGGTCTTCTTTTTTTTTTTCAAGATTTATTTATTTATGCATACAGATCTGAGGTACAGGCCAGAGGTGCAGGGACAGTGAGAGGATTCACCAGAGACAGAGTGGGGAGCAGGACAGGCAGAAGGACGAAGTACACTGCTGAGGGGAGCAGCAGGCGAGACGAGAGGTCTGCTGCACCATGTGGATCACTCCCAGGCTGGGATCTAACTTGTACCGAAGCTGCTGTGCCTAGCTTTCAAGCTTTCAGTGCTGCTTTCTAACCTGTTGCACCACCAGGGAGGACTGAAAAAGGTCTGAATGGATGAGGCAAGAGCTTGGCAGGGAGCACTTCTGATTCTGAATATGGTTCTCAATTACCAAAACAAACTAAAGAGGAGAAGAACATTAAAGTAAAATTCTTTGTCAAATTCTTTTCTGAATTTTCTTCATATCTTGTTAAAGAAGAATCTTACATCTACTGAGTGTTAAAAATGTTCATTCAAATAAATCAAACTGAAACTGCTTCTATGAACTATGTGGACCTTTTCTCTTAGAAGCAGGCACACAAGGCCCCTCACAGTGCTGGGTAAGTCATGAGGAAAGGAGAAGTGGGTAGACCGCAGGCCAGTGGCAGGAATTGGGGAAAGCTTACACATTCTGAAATTCAAGAATTTCAATTCTCTGCCTGACCTCTAGGGTGGTTTTGAATGTGTATTTCTCCAAATAGGAGGATAGGACATACTGTATGTAGTATTTTATTAGTATGACTTGTAGCTTTTAAGTACTTAAACAGATGGTATCTTTGCCCTCATTTGCATTCTTACAAAGACCTCATCTGTATCAGAAACAGGCCAACTCAGAGTAAAACCTAAAATCCTTATCATGACCTAAGAGATTCTATCTGTTTCTGTTCCCCCATCTCCTCCACCCTACTTTAGCTATATTACCTTCCTCGCTTTCCACAGATAAACTGGTTTTCCCCTCCTCTTGGAATGCTCTTCTTCTACTCACATGACTGCTCTCCTCTTATCCTTAAGATCTACTCCCCTACCCACTAAAGTCATTATTTTTGCCAGTGAGACCTTTCCTTTTTAGTTTTCAAAATTTTCCACTCTTCCAAACACTGAGGTGAGGAGTGAAGTTATTTTATCTCCTTCTTTGTTTACTTCCTTTAACATGTATCACTATCAAAAGTTTGTACTTAAAATGAAACTAATTTCCCCTCTAAATAGTTTTTAAAATACCCTTAAATATTAAACATTTTCTTCAAAAAATTTTTTAATTTTTAAAATTATTTTAATTTGGGGATTACACTTTTGCTCTTCCAGATGGGCACATGTTCCACTCACTCTCTACCAGACTACCTGTGTGAATACCTTCTCTTCCCCTGGTAACCATTACATTTTTTCACTGAGTTCAAAATTATTCCTACAGTATTTTGCCTGTGTAGTTTTTTTTAGGGGTTATTCTTAAGTTGAGTGAAATCTTATAACAATTATTTTTTGCTTTCTGACTTATTTCACTTAACATAATCACCTTGAGTTCCTTCCATTTTGTCCCTAAAGCCACTATTTAATCTTTTTCACAGCTGTGTAGTATTCCTTTGAGCATATATTCCACGATTTCTTAATTCATCTGTTCAAGGCCACTTCTGTTAGGTCCATGATTTGACATTTGTAGACAGTGCTACTGTATACATAGGTGTACATAAATCTTTTTGTATTGGAGATATTTCATATATTTATTATCCATATTTCATATGGATAAATACTTAATAGAGATATTGCTGGATCATATGGTATTTCTGTTTTTACATTTTTTTTTAAAGATTTATTTATTCATATAGATCTGGGGTACACGCCAGAGATGCGGAGGGGGAGAGGCTTCACCAGAGACAGAGTGGGGAGCAGAACAGGCAGATCGACGAAGTACACTGCTGAGGGGAGCAGCGGGAGGGTCAAGGGAGGTCTGCCTCGCCATGTGGATCTCCTCCAGGGCAGGCGGGAATCAACTCATGCGGAAGTGGCTTAAGCTTCTTAGTACTGTGCTTTAACCTGCTGCACCATCAGGGAGGGCCTCTGTTTTTACTTTTTAAAGAAATCTCCATACTGTTTTCCAAATGGGCTGTACCAATTTGCATTCCCACTGACAGTTGATGAGACTTAACCTTTTTACCACACTTTTTTAGTTCTTATTGATTTCATTCTTTTTTATAAGGGCTGTTCTCAAATGGGTGCAGTGATATCTCATTGAGAGTTTGCTAGCATTTCCCTTAAAGTCTTTCTTATACTTACTTTAAAGAGTCACCTGGTTCTCAAAGGCTAGTTACTTAATGTAACCATCTTCCTACCCTGCCCTCAATTTCAATGATAACTATTTTTGGCTCTATATGCAATTCTTTTGATATTCTTTGACATATATAAATAATATGCTTATTGCTACTACCTAAATTTTCAGTTTTAAGGATTATCTATTTATTCTTCCTTATAGAGAATGAGAATTAATCTTTTCTTTAGCATTGTCACATCTTGAACATGTACACACACATACCTAGTTCTCTGTTTTCCTGGTGTGGTTACATTGTGATTTTAGTTAGATCAAGATTCAGTATTTTAAAAACTGTAAAACACTATTCACAGCTGAGTCATGTAATGTTCTAGTTATTTTTCCTTGACCTACAGTATTTTCTTTATTTTCCTGTAGTTAAAAATTGTTGGTTTTAGTTTAGGTTGATGTTAGGTTATTGGCATTAATTCCAACCCGACGGTCCCAGTTTGTATGTTCAGTATGTTCAGGTACTTGTATTCTATTGTCGCTTTCTTTAAAAAATCTCTCAGAATCTTCATATCTTTTCTAATCTGAACTGTTGTTCTCAGAGTTACCTTGAGTTTGACTGAGACCACAGAGACTCCCTCTCATAAGCCTTGTTTATCTTCAACAGGCACTGGACAGTCCTTGAAGGTAGTTGTCTTTTTAAAGAAAATGTGTTATGAAAATGTAACATGAATCTATAGTTGTTTTTCATGTATTGTAATGAACATACTTTTTATTCCAAAATTATAGATTGTACTGCATTATATTTCATTGTTTGTATAGCACATATTAAGATTACTGAGTAATCTTAATATATATATGTATATGCACATGTACATATATGTATTATATTTTTTCTTTATAGGCTCTCAAAATTAGAGAGATCTGTAATTGCCCACCACTTTCTGGACCAGATCCTCGATTACTATTCAAACTCAGCATGAAGAATTTTCTTGAAGAATCAGAAAAAGAAGACCTAAATATCACTGTTAAGAAACAGAAAATGGATACTCTTCCTGTTCAAAACCAGAAGCAAATACCGTTAACTTATATAGTTGAGAAAAGAACTGGGAGTTGAATTAAAATTTATGAGATACAGGATGTAGGGAGAATGCAGCAGTCCTTATCATTTTTATATTATTTTTTTAAATGATATGTGAATGAACAAAAAATGGATATTCAGGATCAAATCATGTATATTACAAGCATTATCTAAATTCTACTAGGTATATTTCATGAAATATTGATGCATTTTAATATATCTTCAATGAGGAAAATGTCACAGAATAAATTTATATTATACATTTTGCTCTGTCTCCTACTTGCTTTTGATTTGGAAGACCTCTGGTGGCTGAGAAATCAGAATGTGAGGTAATTGTTATTGTAGCGAGGGCTCAGCTGAGCCTAAGGTGGATTTCAGAGCCTATGTAGTTGTGATCAACTGGGAAACTTAACAATCCGAAGTATCTGTTTGCACAAACTAGTCTGTTGAGGTGCGATTTTGTGGAATAGGGGATCCAGGGATGTCCTGGTCCTTAACAATGATGATGAAGTTAAATGGCTGTTCACAGAAGCTGAAGAAACTATTTTCAAAGGGAGACACAGGTAGTGTGCTGTTTGTGATCCACCTGACAAAGTGAGAAACACATTGGAAGACAGGATCTTTCTTCACAGATACAGTACGCTCTGCACTCAGGTCTTAACAGGAAGGCAAGTCGTTTTGGTGCCTTGACAATATTAAGTGTCTCTGATGTCACAGGGAAGGCAACCACCTTGTTCTCATGCTAGTACCACCAAGAGGAACGGGGACAAGGTGCTGCCCTCCAGTTGTTCTCCCTCAGCAGATGTCAACAAAGAACCAGAAGAGATGAGAGCAGTACAAGACATGTCTGTACTGATTTCCAGAAATTACTGTATTATGTCAATGTGCAAATGAGTTTTAAAATGTGTAATCATTGATAATTTTTATTCCCAAATTGGTGAAATTCTAGTCATGTCAAGGTTACATTTCTATGGACATTTTTTTGAAACATGTATTAACTAAGTAGTTTTATAGAGAATTAAGAAAGAAACCACCTTTTACTGAGTATCTGTCATGTATGGGGCTCATGTGTTCCAGAGTCCTAAGAAATAGCTTTTATTATTCTCATACAATGAGAAACAGATTTGGACATATATATAAATAAAATACCAAATTTATCTCATCTAAGAAATACAAAGCTAAATTGCTCATGCTACAAATCTGTCCATTCCTACATTCTCCTGCATTTAAAACTAAACTTTCGAGAGACAAAGAACAAATTCTTTTCTCAGTTGTTTGTTATCTTTCTTGTGTGGCTTTAATACAAGTAAAAATTTCATAATTATAAAACCAGTGATCACATATTATGTGTAGGGTGATTTTCTAGGTCTTTCTCCCAGTCTCTTCTTTCAAAATTTCCATGAAAAGCCTGAGGTGAGGAAAATAGGAGAGCTCTTCTGCCTAGAAAAGCCCATGACTTCTCATTTAGGATGTGTCTGTACTCCCCACACTGTTGCATTTTCTTAGATAAAATATTTACCTAATTGTTAAGAATTTAAGTTCAAAGCCTGTTTATGTTTTTCAGGGTTTACAATAAATTATTTGTAAGGAATTTCATGATCTGTACTCAACACTTTTGTGAGGGGGAGGTTTAGATGAACTGTTTTCCATGTAGTCATTCTTTACACTCCTAGTGATTGGAGATCTGTCAGAGACACTACATAAAATGTGAAAACATTTGGAGAATATCACCTAGAGGTAAACATTAAAACACGCCAGTAGATTTCCCTGAAGCTTTCTAAGAAAATAGTGTAGTAGAGACCCTACTCTGCTTTTTCTTCCATCCTATTATCACATCTAATTGTGTTGTTCAAACTGTCTGTGAAATTTATACAAAGTTGATATCATGTTAGAAAAAACAGCAATAATACCTTTTAGTGTGTATGAAAGATTTTTTAAAAAACCCATACAATCAATAAATATAAAAGAAATGTTACATTTAGGAGAAATTAAATAGCTATTGAAATGTAATAAGTATACATATAATTTAGGTTGTATGTGCAAATAACTTCTATATGTTTTGTATTTATTGTATCACTTACTGTCAATACTTTTCATATTCTTATAAGTAATGTTGGCTCATTAGCTCAGTTACTATTAGGGACATGAGACCAGTATCCAAGGCACAAATTTTATCTGATGATCCAGATATTTCTAAGACTGTGACCTAAAAGTAGACTCAAAAGGAATATGTATATTTATTTCTATGTCCGTAATATCTAACAGATTGGACACATCACACAGCATCAACCAAAGGAGAAGTAATACTTGATGACATCTCTGCTTTTCAAGAAGTTTGGAACATTGGGCAAGTCACTTCAACTCTTCGGTGCTCTTCATGAGTCAAAGAGGTACCTTTAAGGTACGATGTGAATAAAGGAAATGATGTACTTAATACATTTAGTGCAATGTTTTGAATTCCAAACAATTAAAAATAGCCGATTATTGAATGCTTACTCTGTACCAAGAATTGTGCTCAGCATTTTCCAAGCATAATTGAGCCTCTCTGAAACCTTGTATATAATAGTTATTTTTCTGCATTATAGATCACGAAACTGAAATTTGGAGGGTGAATGAGATTTGCTCAAATTTATATAGTTTAATTCTTATGATTATTTGCAAGAACAGAAAAAAACAGAAAATTCAAGCAAAAGTGAATTGCCTCACCAAACAGAAAAACTGGTAGTAAACTCATCTTTAGCACAATTTAGTCCAGAGACCATGTTACCAGAGCAAAGACATCTCTCTGCCATTTTCTCAACTCTCGCATTACTGTTCCTTGATGATATCAAGATGGCTGCCAGTACGTCCCATTCCATGCCTCATTCACATCCAGTGGAAAGAGTGACTATTGAAACAAAACTTTCAGTACACATTGCAACCTGCGAAGAGCACCTCAGAAATAATCTCCATGGCAAGTTACGGTATTTTGAAGTTGCTGAAGTTGAGGCTAGGTGCAGTTTATACCATCCAGAGTGGCGTCAGCATGGTGAGAGACCTACAGCCACAGGACCGTCTAAGTAACTGGAACTAAACCTTGTTACATTTAACCTCTTATAGCAGGCAAAGAAAGAAGATTTGGTCTGAATTAATGTCTGAGCAAAAATAAAAACAGTAGCATATGTTTTAGATGTGATAATAAATTTGTATTGGCATATTTGCTTACCATTCCCAAGATTTTTTTTTTCTTCTGACCAGAATTCTCTCATACCCTCAAAACCAACTTATGATATTCGAAGGACAAGTGTTATTTTCTCATTGGGGAAAAGAACTAAAGCTTAGAAGAATTTAGCAAGTTACCCAGACATGCACTTCAAGTAATTGACTGAATTGAAATAAAAAGGAAAAGATTCATTGATTTGGATAATCTAGTGTTCTTTCAGTAATAACATCTCCTTTAGACAGGGAGATATTACCTCCATATTTATTTGTAAGCCTAAGCTCATCTTATATTTCACAATCTATGCTCTTTATCCGTTTACTGCCACTTCAATTGGAAAATCTCATAAGAAAGTGAGAATGAAAAGTGTTCATTTCCCTTCACCCCTCACTTGTAAACAGTAGGGCTAGTGCTCTTTCTTCCCTTGGTTAAAAGCATGCATTTTAATACTCTAATAGTTGGTAAAAAAAATTTTTAAGTGTGTTCATATCCATAAAAGATAAAATTCTGATTAGTCATCTCATAGTGTTTTTATTAGGGCCTAGAGAAATTTGTGTTGTGAAGTATCTCTCTTGATATTATTTGAAAATAAATCCTATCAGTTAGTACCCTTTTATACCTTATCCCCTAACTTGATCAGAGAGCTAGTAGCCCCCAAAGATAGGCCAGTGACTCCCTGCCTCTTAACCACCAAGGACTTTGTTTACATTACCTGACTCCATATGCATGAACTTTTTACACACTCATTTGTTTGTCTTGAAGTGTTGGAGATTAGATTTGTGACTCATGACCAGGATGCCCGGCTGTATGCCCGGCTGTTTATTGAGTTGAGATGAGTTGGGGATGGAGCTTAAGTCACAGGTGGTCCTGCTTACAGACCTCAGAATTTCTGTGATGTCAACCAAAACTAATTAAGGCCTTTGGTTACTGTATGGTCTCTGGAGTTACCAAAATTCCAGCCAAGAGAAAAATTGTGATTTTAATTAATCTGAGTGGCCAACTTATGTGAGAGAAATGTATTTTTTAGTTCGACTCTTTGGGCTATTAAGCCTGGCTGGCAGAGTCCCAAGACCACATTCACGGGCCAAAAGGGACCAGGCACCCCTTCCTGGGCATCATGGGTCTAAAGTCACATTTGCTTTTTTTTTCAATTCTCTTTAGAAAATAAGGAAAAGTGAAATCGACATAAGTTAATTTTGACCATTATAGCAAAGTATAATCATATTTTTGTAACTTAGAAGTGATGAATATTCTACTTAAGTGTTCTGTTCTATATTTTATGATACAAATCTATTTTGATAGATATCTATTTAGATAGATATATAGATATATTTTAGTAGTTATTGTTTTGTTTTTTTTTTCACAGAAACAACTTGAATTTAATTTTTCCACAACTACTCCCCTCTGGTGTTACTGTAGTTTTGAGGGAATCAGGGGCAACATGGCTAGTCTATTTTCTTTGGGGACATGGGATAATAACACTTGCTTTGCCTCCCTCCCAGGCCTATGGGTTTTGAGGACAGCAACGTGCATAGACTTTGAACAACATCCAAATTGCTATACTTGTGCTGATTCTTATATTTTAACTCTCTCTCAGTCTCAGTTATAAGATGATTAGTTAGGAGACATCATTTCTGGAAGGATGAATATTTGATCTGCTACAACCAAAATTTGAGATGATCCGCTTTTACTCAAGTGTGAGGAAAAGGAAAATTTTTTGTGGCATGTTTTGTTTTGATCTGATTTATGCATGTGTGTGTTTAATTAACCTAGTTACTCTATTAATTCTGCTGTGATCCTGGTCTAGAGTGTAATCCTGCTTTTCATTAATGTGTACATTATGTTGCTTTACTCTAGATAAATCAGGTCCAGCTTTTCCTGGATGGCCAGCCCACCTTCCCCAGATGGAGAGAGAGAAGGGGGAATAATATCTGTTGTGCCCAGCTAAGGACAAGATACCACATTTCTATCCTTTTAATCTCAGTAGCAGCTGCTAGAGAGGCATGAGTTATTTTCCCAATTTACAGATAAGGAAGTGGAGCTCACAGCATTGTGTATCTTGGCTGAGACCGCACACATAGTTCAGGAATTTAACTAGTTTTGTGAGACTTAAAGGCTTTTTTTTTTTTAAATACAAAAAATGAGAGCAGTTGACAGAGAATCATGGGAAACATTTGGGGTCTTCTAGTGCCCTGGTTGTTTCTCCTGCTCTATAATCCCTGAAACTTTCCATAATCTCATCTTTCAAAACCATGCCACAACACTTAGATCTTGCAGCTAATCAATGAGCTAGTAGAAAACTGTTCATGACAAAGGCCAGTAGCACTAAGGAACTTAATTTGGCACATATTAAATACTTAGTGAATTCAATTCAAAAGATTCAAAGAAGGAAGGCATGAATGAATATATGAATGTATACAAAGAAAACAATAAGTTACCTGAAAGATTGAATCAATTTTGGAATGAGCTTTATTTATTTTATTTGTAAGATTTATTTCTAGGCCCTCCCTGGTGGCACAGCAGGTTAAAGCACAGCACTAAAAAGCTAAAGCCACTTCAGCATGAGTTCAATGCCCACCCCGGAGGTGACCCACATGGTGTGGCAGACCTCTCCTGACCCGCCTGCTGCTCCCATCAGCAGTGTACTTCGTCAGTTGGCCTGTTCTGCTCCCTACTCTGTCTATGGTGAATCCTCTCTCACTGCCCCAGCACCATGACCTGTAAAAAATCTTTAAAAATCTTTTAAGTAAAAAATTTATTTATTTATACATACAAGAACTGGGGTATAGGCTAGAGGTGTGGGGAGAGGGCGAGAGGATTCACCAGAGACAGAGTGGGGAGCAGAACAGGCAGATCTACTGAAATACACTGCTGAGGGGAGCAGGGGGTGGTCAGGAGAGGTCTGCCAGGCCATGTGGGTCACCTCCCTGGCCAAGAATCAAACTCCTACAGTGGCTGCAGATTGCTTCATAGTGCTGTGATTTAGCCCATTGTGCCACCAAGAACAGCTCTGGAATGTGCTTTATTTATAATGTTCTGTGGGGGAGTCTTACCACATGCTCAGTTATATCTGTATCGTTTCCTCCCAGGCCCCACGGTTTAGTAAGTCTTTGCCCCAAAAAATTGCTTGGAAAAATATTGAAAGCTACCAGTTTTCCCCCTCTACTTGTTAACCCTAGTCTTGCTGCCTTATTTTTCTCCTTAGAAACCATAGACTTATTCTTTTTTTTTTCCTTTAGTCTCCCATGATGGAGTTTATTTAATATAATAATTTATTTTTACATCATTTTTGCCTTTTTTCCATCTCAATCGTAGTCCCCATGGGCTTCCCATCACCAAATCACCCGTGTGCCGTCACCATAGTTCAGTGCACTCTCCCCCCGTCCCATTTTTATCCCATTCCCCACTCCACCCTCATAAAATGTCTCTAGTATATAGTTGTTCATTATTATTATTATTATTATTAATTATTAATTATTATTATTATTTCCCCCTGAAACCAAAGACTTACTGTTTATGGCATTTGGGCCACTTGCTCTGGCTGACCTATGAACTCAATATTACTAGTTCAGGAAACCACTGAGGATTTGAGAATTGGGTTTAAATTTTACCTTCATCACATCCCGAAACTTGTGCTCGCCCTCATCTGCATGTTACTGAGGTGGAAAGAGCTTTACTATCATTATGTCCCCCCACCACCATGGCCCTACGAGCCTGCCTTTGGTCTGGGAGCTCCTCACAGGCTGGGGCTCTGTTGTAGTCATCTTCCCCCTCAGTCCACTACTCAGTACACATTTCTTGAATCAGTACAAAAAGTAGTAACTAGTATTACCCTTTGGTGTTGGCCTTAAATTTGTTAATTCTATCTTTACATTTGATTTGTCCTTCAACCAAATTTAGTTTGTCAAAGTCTAAATTTGATTTACCCTTAACCTTGAGACATATTTCCTCCCTGAGTTTCCGCAGCTCTACCAAACAATTTCATATTCTTTTTAGGTTTGCCCGCAATCTTAAGAGCTCAGCCTCTGCAACCCACAGCATGTGCGTCACCTGGCTTACT